TCAGTAAGGACGAGGGCAAACGACCGTTTTTGTCTTTGTTTTTGTTTGCGCTCGGCAATCCTTGCTTTAAAACCGTTCCGCGCGTGTTGAAATATAAAGTGCAGACTTTACGGCAGTACGGAGTACGGAGCTGCGCGCAGATAAGACGCTTTCAGCGAGTCAGTTACTCGAGTTGCCACCAGTCGGCGCGCCCTTCGCGCGCTTTCCGGGCCGCCATAGCCGACCTTCAGTTTCTCGCCGTTGCTCCGCGTTGTGTGATGCACAGGCCACTAACGGAGCTTCCTTTTCGTGTTCTTTTACGTTGCGCGTTGAAACCTTGGATTTTCTTTAGGCCTTTTCGATATTTAGGACTTTCATTTAATCATTTGATATTTATATTTCGACATTAGCTCTTGTATTTTCCTATTTATGAAATGGAATCGGACAGCGAATGAGTCGACGATACAAAACTTTGAGGCTTCAATGACCATGTAAGTTCATCCCATTCTTACGTTTTTGTCGCTAATAAAGGGCAGTCAACACTATTGCGACATATGTAAATTGCAACTGACGCAGTAAGGCTATCACAGATCGTGCTTCTCGCTGCATGTGCGCGCTCGTTTCCGTAAAGCCAACCTGCACGTAAGCGATTTAGCGCGCGACAAGACGAGCGACGGAGTTTTCTCACCGTCGCCCGTCGCATCGCCCGGTTTGGGGATTTCTAGAAAACGCCGCTCACCATCTTGGTTGCCTGCTGCCGTCGCTTCCATGCAGTTTGCCTCGTCGCGCGACTGACTGAGCGACAGCGAAGCGGGTCGCCGTCGCTTATCTGGTCGCTCGCCAAATCACTTACATGCGGTTTATACTCAATTAATTTCCATGCACACACCATTGAACCATTGGCGCCTCGATATTAAGTATAAACCGCATGCAAGCGATTCGGCGAGCAACGAGACAAGCGACGGTGACCCGCTTCGCTGTCGCTCGGGCAGTCGCGCGACGAGGCAAACCGCATGGAAGCGACGGCAGCAGGCAACCAAGACGGTGAGCGACGTTTTCTAGAAACCCAAAAAACCGAGCGATGCAACAGGCGGCAGTGAGAAATCTTCGTCGCTGACTCTCGTTGTTGTCGCCGTCGCTCGTCTCGTCGCACGCTTAATCGTTTACATGCGGGTCGGCCTTACGGAAACTAGCGCGCACATGCAGCGAGAGGCACGACTGGATAGTCAGTTGAAATTTGCATATGTCGCAATGCTGTTGACTGCTCTTTATTACCGAAAAAAACGTTAGGATGGGATGAACTTACATGGTCTCTGAAGCCACAATCTTGCATCGTCGATCCATTCGCTGTCCGATTTCATTTCATAAATAAGAAAATACAAGAGCTATGTTGAAATATAGATATCATATGATTAAATAAAAGCCCGAAATATCGAAAAGACCTAAATAAACCACACGATTTCAACGCGGAACGTAAAAGAACGCGAAAACAAAGCTCCGGTAGTGGCCGGTGCAGCACACAACGCGGAGGAACGGCGAGAAACTGAAGGGCGGCTATGGCGGCAGGGTCACGTGACGTCAAGATGGCGGCGCCCATGAAATGTTGCCTGAAAGGGTCTATACTCTATTTCATCTTATGATGTACCGCAGTAAAGGCTACAAGCGCGAGCTCCTTGCTTTGGGGCACATGTCGGCGGCACAAGCTCTCGTGCATTAGGGGCAGCTGCCACAGCTACGAGCTCGGTCTTCCTAGGGTGCCTTCATGTGCGCTTTGCTTAGGGTGGAGACATCTGGCCATTTTGTCTCACACTTTTATTTTTATTTTTTGTTCAGAAGCGCGTGAAAGAACGTGTCCCTGCACGCGCCCGTGGCGCTGACTGTACTACGGTGACATTTTGTTTTCGTCGATTTCTTTGCATTTTACCCGTGAGCGCGTACTGTCGGCATCGGGTACTACAAAGGGTGGCATCACCCTAAACAGAAGGAAATTGAGGCACCCTAGGTCTTCCAGCCTTCACCGCGGTACAACGTAAGGTGAAACAGAGTATAGTTCGACAGAGATTTTGCCGAGTGTGTTGCGTGCCTCATGACAACTCTTCTTTAAGAAAACAAAAAACAAAAAAAACTTGGAGCGTTTATTTTGTGGGTTTCCAACAACACCTCTATACCGGGGGGGGGGGGGGGGGGGGGGGGGGGGGGGTTGGCCAGGCTGACCCGGTCTGAGAGCCGCAAACAAAATCTCGAGACTTCCCAAGAGGCGCGTGTGTGTGTGTGTGTGTGTGTGGGGGGGGGGGGGGGGGGGGGGAGTTGCGAGCCGCAGTTTGAAACGCGGAGAGCCGCGGCTTGGCCATCCCTGCTCTATATCAAAGTTTTTTGTCAGCGTTCGAAACTGGAAGCATTGAAATATATTATCTTTCTCAATCTTTCCATTAAAGCATCGATATGGATTGCGTATGCACATCGCCAGGACTTTGGAAGCCTGCCGATGAGCAAGCTGCGCCAGTGTCTTCAGTGCAGCGAGCACGCCGGTGCTACCGCTTGTGCAAGTTGTAGGAAGATTCGTTGGCGGAAAAACGCATACCCAACCGTTCTTGTTACGAATCTGTTGCTGCAAGGATCAGTTCCTCCTGGTGAGTTGTCAGAGCAATCTTCAGTTCATTTTACAGCTTCGTGTCTATATCTTAGGATAGAGTATGATATGGTGCTGTTCTGTTAGCTTGTACCAAAGTAACGTTGGCTTGTACATTAAAGTAATTAATTTCGTTTTACATATTTGACAACGTTTGCTGCCTGCTGCAGTTCTTGGCTCCCCTTGGAGGGCGGTGAACTGCCAGCGGAGTTTGTAAATACGTGTTTGAAATAGCGCAACTCATTTGACCTTTAATGAAGTTTGAACGTGCTGATTGAAAAGGTTTACTCCGACTTAACATAACAAATTAATAACAAAAGGTACAGACGTTAACAACAAAAGATACAGACGGGTACAGACGTTAATAACAAAAGATACAGACGGGGGTCGTATACAAAGTGCAGTGCGGGGATTGTGACGCGACCTACATCGGCGAAACGGGCAGAAAGAGGGCAACGAGATTGAAAGAACACAAAAGGGACGTTGCCAAGGCCACCCATGCCACGCGGTCCAAGACGGAACTTGTCGAACACTGCTGGACGACAGGACACAGTTTCGACCTGGACAATGCGACGACGCTGGCCCGAGAACAAAGGTGGGGGCAAAGAAAATTCGTCGAGTCCTGGTTCATTCGCCGTGACTCATCGGTGTGCAACACCAACCGTGGCCCCCTGCCGGACGTTTACGGGGACGTGTGTGATAAGTAGACTGGTCGACCTCACCTCATTTGTGTCAGTGTATACTGAAGATGCCACCTGCATAGGTGGCGAAACGTCTGTACCTTTTGTTATTAATTTGTTATGTTAAGTCGGAGTAAACCTTTTCAATCATGAATTCACCCGGCTTTTGGAACATTTTTGCATTTGAACGTGCTGTTTCTGTATTATTGCACTGGTAATATGACGCGAAGCGCACTTGCTCGTCTGCTCGACCGGTGCCGTGCTGGCACTGCACCGGTCGAGCAGAAGGCACCAATCCAACAAACAAACCACACAAAAAAAAAAAAAAGAAGAAAGAGGAGGAGGAGGCGAGGGGGGCACCGTCCCAGAGTGGAGACAACTCTGTCGTCTGCTAGCGGAGCCGCCATATTGCCGCCTTCTTCGCCCGTCGAGTCTATGTGGAACAGGGCTTATACAGCCGTTTGTGAGCTCTCTACGCAGTTAATGAGCATTCTCACCCGTGAAATGGAGCGCGACCACTTCAAGACACGTAACGTCACGTGTTCAGTAAAGTATGTTTTTGATTTCCCATTTAAAATTACGATTTAGTCCGCATATAGCGCAAATGTGCTCGCAAAAGTTCCGTCGGCTGCCGCTCACATTCTGGTCCACTTCTCACAGATGGTAGATCTCTGCAAGTACATTTGATACCGACTATGTTCGTTATCATCTGCTGCAACCCCTACCCATGTTTGGCCTTCCATTGAATGAGGAAAAGTAAAGCGATCAACGAACGAGGCGCAGATATGAGCATATGTGTTCTGCTTTCTATCGCCTCTTATTCGCCTATATTGTTATTGCGATACGTTCTGGGTTAGCATTCAGAGCTTCTGAAATAACTACACAAGAAGAGACGTCCGATAAGGACCTGTTGTAATTTTTGTTTGTTTTTTAATCGGAAGGAACCAAATTTAGAAACCGAAACTAAGTCAATATCGCTGGAATTCTGAGTATACTTGGACGGGCTGTGCTTCCAAAAGCTCTGAAACAGAAATCGTTCATTTGATGAAAGAAAAAAAAACACTTAATAGTCGGCAGGGTTTAAAGGTAATTTGACAAGCAAACATTTCCATTTTTTTATGGCTCATTTAGAATTCAAAAGTCCCTCACCTGTTGGTGAAGCAGTACTAAAACCCTCAAAACTTACCAATATATATATATATAGGGTGTTTCAGAGAACTCAGGACAAATCGCTCCTGCGAAAACTACTCATCGGAACAAAGAAAAAGGCTTAATTGTGTCGTTTTGGTCCCGGGCCAGGGGCCCATTTAGAAAAATTATTAAAGTCCGGGATAATATAGTTGTTAATTATTTTTGCGTAATTAATTTTTTAATATTGTGCTTAAGGGCATGGTTTCAATTAGAAAATTGCTCAGCATCGTCGAAAAACAGTAAATCAACAAATTGCAGAACGATAGAAGGTAATTAGACATAAGGAAGATACATAGAAAGGGGGACGGACAACGAAGACTTCCAACTAGCAACAACATTTATTGACCCGAAGTTTGCATATATAGGTGAAGGAGGGGAGGGTGAAAGACGCTACACTGGAAAGTGGGAAAGCGATGGGAGAGAGTGCAGAGCCAGGGAAATGAGGGACGATCCCGTGGGGTAGGCATCTAATCGCTCGGAGCCGCTGAAACGAGGGACGTCAGCTCTGGCCCCAGGAAGTTTATCTCCCTCCTGGATAAGCCTATGGACGGGGATCCGAAGTTGCTGTGACTGTAGTGCATGGCGAAGGCCTCCATGATCTCTCGTCCGTATCTTGAGGCGTGACCTCCAATCCTGGTGGTCGAGGGAAGGTCGGCCGAACAGGGTTCGCTGCACTCAGAGGTGTGTTTGGCAATCGGGTGGTAACAAATCTCCGAAGTGTCGGAGGCGGCTTTCTTGATCTCGTTTGCATGTTCCCTCACCCGATCGTTTAGGCATCGGCCCGTCTGTCCGATGTATTTAGCACCGCAGGACATGGGAATCGAATACACGCACTCTTTGCAGCAGGTTACATAATTGGTCTGGTGCTTTTTCTGGCACGGGGGCGCTGGACCGGGGTTGTTGACCTTTCTACAAATAGAAGCTAATTTGAACTTGCAGGAAAATACAACGTTGGTGTTGAAGCCGAGCGCAATAGATTTCAGGCGATGTGAGGTGTTGTGTATGTAGGGGATGCACGCGAAGCGTGACTTAGGAGGGAGGGGTTTGGACTTCTGCCCCGCGACAAGTCTTTTGATTGTTGTTTCAATCAGGTCTCTCGGGTATCCTGCCTTTATGAGGCGACTAATCTGCTTGGATAGGCTGGGGGCGGAAAGGTGCTGACAGGATTTAACCTTTGCCGAAGCAACTAGATTTCGAACGATCCCATTTTTTACATTCCTTGAGTGTGAGCTGTTGAAAGGAAGAACGGGCTTAGAGGACCTCTGCTGGTGAGCCCAGCAGATACCTTTGCTAGTTGGGACCAACCTGAGATCCAGGAACTGTAAGCCCTCAGGGGAGGGGGCCTCTTTGGTGAACGTAAGCCCATGTGAGTTCTTCTGGAACACGGTCTCTATGGCTGCAGAGTCGGAGATGGTGGAGTGTGGGATGAGATAATCGTCAACATAACGAAAAACCTTCGCATCGGGAAAATCTCGTTGAAGGTCCGCCTGAACTTTGGCGTCAACATAAAACAGGTAAATTTCGCTGAGGACGGGAGCCAAGCAAGACCCGATACAAACGCCGGCCCTTTGTATGTACACTTTACCCTCATATTCAACAAGCGTTGATTGGAGATACAGTTGTGTCAATTCGAGAAATGAGGACAGCGAGACGCCACATGAATTTTGAAAGTCTATGACACCTGTCTCGTGGATGGCGTCAGAAATGAAGCCCAGGAGGGTCTTCACGTCTAGGCTATAGTGGAGATCTACAACATCGAGCGAGAACGCTCTTACAGCTTCAGTGCCGGCGTGTAACTCGTCCAGCACGGGAAGGAGATCTTCCGAATTCCTTAGTCTGAAAGGTTGGGGGAGCTCTAACGTGCCGAGATGTTTCTGCAGAAACTTCGCCAAAGGCCTCTGCCAACACCCCGTCTCGGATACAATGCTGCGGAACGGCACGCCTGGTTTGTGGGTTTTAGCGGAAAAGAAAATAGAGAGGTATTGCTTCGCTGGGGCAAGAACGGCACTTTTTAAAGAAAGGAGGTTAGATGAATCGCACATTGCCTTCACCCTGGACCTGAGGGATCCGGATGGCCGCGTTTTGAGGCCGATAAAGTTCTTCTTTAGGGCCTCGTCGGATTTCTCTTGCATTTGTTGTTTGTTCAGGATGACGAACTGACCCGTTTTGTCAGCTTGAAGTAAACGCAGCTCACCGGCCTGAAGTTCTTTGATGACTGGCGTAGAGGCGTTTTTGGCTCTCCTGCTCCCCCCGTGGAAGCACACAGCCCTTGTTCCAGCACCGACGAAGTCTTGACGGCTATCCTCCGGGATCTTGGCGGCGATCTCGTACACCGACGCCAGTTCGTCGACTCTGGAGCTGTTCACGGGCGGGGCAAATTTAGGTCCATGGGCGAGCAGGCTTTCCGTGGCCGGAGACAACGTAACCCCTGACAAGTTGATGGGGGGCTCTGGTTGGGCCTTGGTTGACACGTCTCCACCGTTCCTCAGGTGACGGAGAAAATGGTTCCAGGAGTCTGACAGCAGGGTGCTGGCCGACTCCTGTAGAAACCTGAAGGCTGCCTGGCGATCATAGTTGGGTCCCAGGTGTCCGCACATCACGGAGGGAAGGAGTTGTTGCTTCGGCAAAGGTTAAATCCTGTCAGCACCTTTCCGCCCCCAGCCTATCCAAGCAGATTAGTCGCCTCATAAAGGCAGGATACCCGAGAGACCTGATTGAAACAACAATCAAAAGACTTGTCGCGGGGCAGAAGTCCAAACCCCTCCCTCCTAAGTCACGCTTCGCGTGCATCCCCTACATACACAACACCTCACATCGCCTGAAATCTATTGCGCTCGGCTTCAACACCAACGTTGTATTTTCCTGCAAGTTCAAATTAGCTTCTATTTGTAGAAAGGTCAACAACCCCGGTCCAGCGCCCCCGTGCCAGAAAAAGCACCAGACCAATTATGTAACCTGCTGCAAAGAGTGCGTGTATTCGATTCCCATGTCCTGCGGTGCTAAATACATCGGACAGACGGGCCGATGCCTAAACGATCGGGTGAGGGAACATGCAAACGAGATCAAGAAAGCCGCCTCCGACACTTCGGAGATTTGTTACCACCCGATTGCCAAACACACCTCTGAGTGCAGCGAACCCTGTTCGGCCGACCTTCCCTCGACCACCAGGATTGGAGGTCACGCCTCAAGATACGGACGAGAGATCATGGAGGCCTTCGCCATGCACTACAGTCACAGCAACTTCGGATCCCCGTCCATAGGCTTATCCAGGAGGGAGATAAACTTCCTGGGGCCAGAGCTGACGTCCCTCGTTTCAGCGGCTCCGAGCGATTAGATGCCTACCCCACGGGATCGTCCCTCATTTCCCTGGCTCTGCACTCTCTCCCATCGCTTTCCCACTTTCCAGTGTAGCGTCTTTCACCCTCCCCTCCTTCACCTATATATGCAAACTTCGGGTCAATAAATGTTGTTGCTAGTTGGAAGTCTTCGTTGTCCGTCCCCCTTTCTATGTATCTTCCTTATGTCTAATTACCGTTACCAACACGCTCGTTTTGTACTTAGATAGAAAGTACGCGCATCATTTTACGGCTTTCTGAAAAACCGCACAAATTCGCCGGGTTTTTAAGTTTCGGTTTACTATCGGAGTGCATCTCGGCCAGGGCGGCACCGCGCCCCGTGGAGAAATAGTGCAACCAGCCTCTGCTGCGTCGCGCGATGACAGCGCAGCAGAGGTTGGTTGCACTATCTCTCCACGGAAAGCCGTAAAATGATGCGCGTGCCTTCTATTGTTCTGCACTTTGTTGATTTACTGTTTTTCGACGATGCTCAGCAATTTTATAATTGAAACCATGCCCTTAAACACAATATTAAAAAAATAATTATGCAAAAATAATTAACAACTTAGTTATCCCGGACTTTAATAATTTTTTTCCCGGGACCAACACGACACAAGCCTTTTTTTGTTGCGATAAGTAGTTTTCGCAGGAGCGATTTGGCATGAGTTCTCTAAAACACCCTATATATATATATATATATATATATATATATATATATATATATATATATATATATATATATATATGTGTGTGTGTGTGTGTGTGTGTGTGCTTGTCTATTCTATGTGCGCGCTGGTGCCCTGTAGGCACCAGCGCACACACAGAAGTGCACGCACAAATCCAGACAGATTTAAGTTTTTCTCATACATTCGGCTAAACGACCGCAGTAGGTATCTATAAATTTTGTTTGCTGGCCTGTTTTCTGAAAGGACCTTCCGCAGACAGAAATCAGAATATTTTATTTGTTTGCTATTACAATATTTTTGTTCGCCTGTTCCCTTAAAATGCACTGATGCTGACAGAAATCAATAGATGAAACGTTTACTTCACAAATATCTTTAAATAAGTAAGATGTTAGATTAGGTAGGTTTATACTACTGAGCCCTAATATAAGAAAAAGCTTTATATTTAACATACGTGCTCCCGTTTTCATATGGAAGGTAATTCTCACCACAGAGTATCAGCACCTGCAACAGGGTGGTATTGAAGAACGTTTCACAACATGCAAAAGTCTTATAAAGCAAATTTAAAGTGGAGAGGACGGAGATCATTATGGTGGTGCACTCACTAAAGGATTCATTACAACACTTGTTTAATTGACATTTTGACGGCAAAGATATTGGCAGTTATTAAATTTAGAGCAGTGTTTAGACATGGCAGAGCAGAGACTAAGGAAATGGAAATAAAAAAGGCATAGGATGTGGAGATCTCGAACAACATAGAGATTTATTTGACACAGCAGCTTGATATATACAAAAAAACAGAACTCATAGATGCCTGTAAAGGAAAACACAGAAATCCACTTAAAAATTAAAAAAAAAAAATCAATCACACACTCTCCACAAGACAAGTGGCACCAAACATTAACAAACCAGCTTGCTGAAACATGCAGTAGTGCAAAAATAAATCTGTGACTGCACAACACAGATGTACAAAAACAGGACTCACACTACCAAACATATACATCCCACAAGAAAAATGACAACATATCTAAATAAACCAACTTACAGGAACACTTAGTAGAAAAAATAAATCTGGAACTCCAGGAAACCGAAACTTTGTTGCCATTGTTCAATGAAAGCAGAACTCCACAACACAGCCATCACACACTAAAAACAAAAACAAAAAAAAAAAAAAACACTGGCCTGGGGTCCTAATCTGGACACTTGGCGAAGAAGTCGACGAGAAATCCGGCGCCACGCTTGACCTCGGCGTCGGCCAATCCAGGCTGCCGGAATTCTCGCCGACTTTTTCGCCAAGTGTCCAGATTAGGGGCCCTGCTTGTGCTGCAGCCTGTGGCTTAGAGCCATGCCACAAAGTGACTCCTAAGGCACTCGAGAAAGTTCCATCACACTGTCAATTCAGTTGTCAAGCTGGACCTCTAACAAAACAGAAGGGAATTCAAAAATAAATAAAGGCACTGCGATTGGCGACACGCTGAGCAAGCAGACTAAAGGCATGACGCCAAGGACGCAACCGCTTTGCGGACGCGGATCCGCTTCCAGTGTGGATGAGCGGTTACCGCGGCGGAGGTGGCGTAGGCTCACTCGGCTGGTGAGGCGACGGAGGCGACGGGTAATAAATAATCACCGGACGCCGCTTGAACGAAACTGGAGAAGCGTCGGCGCGCTGGAAGTTGGGGCGTTTGTGCACGCAGCGCTGCCGTCGTCGCTCTGTGTGCGCGCTTTTCAAGTGCAGATGGCGGTGTTCCGTTGACCGCCTGTGGTTGTGGAAGCTCTAACACATGTTTCTATCTGATACTGGTATTAATCAAGCGCTTTAGCGCATGCGGACGGTAGACCAGATAGACGGCGGCTTGAGTCCGTTGGTCGACGCGTGACAGATGACAGGGTTTCATTTCATTTAATTTATTTTCATCCTTTAGGGCATTGCATAAGGCGGGGGGGGGGAGGGGGGGGGTACAATGTGTCGAATTATACGATACTAACACAGAAACAATAAAAAAATATTAAAAAATAAACACAGCAGAAGTTATATATACGCCCACTCAATTAAAAATGGCCTAGTCGAAGATTATAAAACTCCGCTGAATCAGTGGCGCTAACGATAGAGGATGGCGGCTAGTTCTATTCAGCGGTGGCCTGAGGGATGAATGATTCGTGAAACGCATTAGTTTTACCGGAGATTCGTTTAATTGGACATGAGTTTTTCAGGCGGGATGATGTTTTATCCGGAGGTAAGAGGAGGGCGCTTGGTAAAAAAGTCCCTTGATAATGCTTTTATAAAAGCATTATCAAGGGGGCGCTTGCCCCCCCCCCCCCCCCCCCCCCCCCCCCCGGTTGGTACGCCCATGTTGGTTGTCGTTACTTGTATATATATACAAGTAACGACAACCAACATGGGCGTACCAACCCGGGGGGGGGGGCGTTTGCCCCCCCCCCTGAAACAGCCGCCATTGGGCAGGGCTAACACTGGCCGGCGGCGCTCAAGGGATACAAAGGGCACCGCCCCAGCCCCTGGGGGGGGGGGGGGGGGAATCTGGTTTGCCGCCCCCCCCCCCCCTCAAAAACAAGTTGGTACGCCACTGACGACCAATACAAATGACAAAGCACATTCCGCTGGAACAAAATGGCGGCATTCAGTTCAAACCTCTGCTGTGCGCCACCATTCGCTTCCTAAAACCTGCACCGTCACGCGGTTGGCGCTACAAGGATTGTCGCTACTTGTAGGGAGCTCTTATCTATAAGGACTTTACTTGGTAGCTCTGGGCACTGGTAATTAAATGGGCGATGCACTGATATTTGTAGTTTGCGCAAATACCGCTTAGAACGAATCCCTGACGTTAATGATCTGTGAAATACCCGTTCGTTTTCACCACACGCAATTGAAGTCGCAGAAAAAAATAAAGAAAAACGAGCAGCGTTCGCTCCCTCAACTCGCAGCCAGAACAAGCGGCCCCGTGATATGGAGCCGATTATATGCCGCCAATGTTGATCCTATATGCGCTGGGGTTGGCAAAGCGCAGGACACGCGCTGAGTTCCAGACATTGTTATGGTTCGGTTGTTGTCGTCATTGCAGCGATTGGACACAGGACACTACCCGAATATTTCTCGAGCTATTGATTATCACGAGCCCAAATCGAGTGTCCACGCCATGCTCGGGTCCAATCTATGAGCCGTATTCAAATACCGTCACTGGGCGGTACTGCTACCGCCCAGCTACGTCATCAGGTTTTTCGAAGGAGAGATTGAATGAAAACACTCGTTTTTGTCCTCGAAATTACACCGCAACAAAGGAGTTTCTTGCCCAGTGGCGTTGCGTGCAAGTATCAGTGAGTCCCACTAGTGCCAGTAAGCTCGTGTAAAGTGAAAAACATTCCAATTGAATATCGTTGCACCGCCCCTTTAATTTTGTGATGAAGGCAAAGGCGAGAAAACTTCCTCCGAATTTGAAGGCGTACAAGACCAAGTTGACTTTTTAAAAAAACTCCGTTTAGTTCACCCTAAAAAAAAAAAAGAAAAAAAAAGAAGAAAAAAAAGTTTTGTGCATTGTTCATACGCGGCGCGAAGTAGTTCTTAGGAGATTTGCTTGTCGGAGGAAA